GATGGTGGCAGCTGTGGTACTGGTGGCACTGGTGGCACTGGTGGTGGCAGTGGTGTTATGGGAGCAGCAGTAGAGTGTTATGGTGGCAGCGGTGGTACTGGTGGTACTGGTGGTACTGGTGGTACTGGTGGCGGCAGTGGTGTTACGGGAGCAGCAGTGATGGTGGACGTGGTGACAGTGATGGTGGCAGCGGTGGTACTGGTGGTACTGGTGGCACTGGTGGTGGCAGTGGTGTTATGGGAGCAGCAGTGATGGTGGCCGTGGTGACAGTGATGGTGGCAGTGGTGGTACTGGTGGTACTGGTGGTACTGGTGGTACTGGTGGTACTGGTGGCACTGGTGGTGGCAGTGGTGTTATGGGAGCAGCAGTAGAGTGTTATGGTGGCAGCGGTGGCAGTGGTGGTGGCAGCGGTGGCAGGGACGGTGACAGCGGCGGTGGCAGTGCTGGTGACAATGGCGGGTGCCTTTCCTGGTGCCCGGGCGGACACCACGGTGGCACAGGACGGGTCCCCACGGGTCACAGGGGGCAACCAGCCGGGACAGGGACTTCCCTCCTTCCCAAGGGCTCAGCAGAGCAGGAATTTGGGCTCGGGAAACAGGAAAAAGTGACCGCGGCGCGGGGGGGGGGGGAAGTGCCACGTGTCCCCGGGAGCACGGGCCGGCACAGGGAATTCCCCGAGGGAATTCTCCAGCAGGAGCCGGGATCTGGGACAGCTCCCGCTGAGCCCTCCCGACCCCAGGAGACACGGGGAGAGGTGACGGTGACAGCCGGGGAAGCCGCCCCGAGGCTCCGGGAGCGGAGCTGCCGCGGGAGCAGCCCCGGAGCGGGAGCTCCGGCCGATCCCGGGAGATGGATCCCGGGAGATGGATCCCGGGAGCTGCATCCCGGGAGCTGCATCCCGGGAGCTGCCCCGGCTTCCCCCTCCCTCCAGGGGTGTCTGTCTGACCGGCCTTTCCCTCCCCGCAGAGCAAAGACCGCGACAGGAAGACGGCGATCCGGAGCTAAAGCATCGTCCCGGCGGGAAGGGCCGAGGAGCGGCGGGACAGGGACAGGGAACAGCCACACACACCCCCGGACCCGCGGCCACCGGAGCTCCCGCCCGCTCCTCCCCCGCGAAAAGGACTCATCCCGGGGCTCCCCGGACACGGCCCCCGGCCCCCAGGGCGGCCACGGACAGGAGGTGGACACGCACACGCGGGGCCGGTGGGGCCACGCTGGGACAGCGCCGGACACGCGCGGACACTCCACGACAGCACAGGGAATTCTGCCCGGAGAGCCAAAGGGACATGGGACTGCTGCCCGGAGAGCCAAAGGGACGTGGGACTGCTGCCCGGAGAGCCAGGGACGTGGGACTGCTGCCCGGAGAGCCAGGGACGTGGGACTGCTGCCCGGAGA